CCTTCCCCCCGTTTTCCCCCGCTCACTCTTCGTTCGGCTCTCCTTAGTTGTTATCTCCTCGCGTCTCGCATCTTGTCACTGCTACGATCGCCTGGTCATGCCTGCAGGGTTTTCCCCTAGGGTTCCGGGCTTGCTCGCCGCTCGTCCACTCACCTTCTAGTGCCACTAGCCGTTTCAGGCTCATTCATTGGCTATAGTCTCGCGGTGGGTTCTTCTGGCCCCCTATTGCCGTCGTCGCCTTTCAGCTCTCCTATGTCCAATCCCCCTCGCTTCGCCCAGTTTCCACCTTTGTTCTGGATTCGTTCGCTCTCGCGCTCTGTTTCTTGCCAGTTTGGAGCTGACTGTGGGCTTGTCAGTGTTTGTACGCTCTCCGCGGCCCCCTTCTCTCTAACTGAAATGTATTCCCTGCAGTGTTATCCTGTTTGGGCCTCTCAGCGTCTGACCATCCCAGTGCTTGTTTTTGTTTTTACCACAGAGAGAGAGAGAGAGAGAGCTGAAGGGCGCAGTGAATTGTGATCCGCTTGGTTCCTACGGTTGGGGCGTGTGCCTGGAGCCGTGGTTGGCCGGTGCATCGGGCCCAGCTGCAGAGGAGGGCTTAACGATCACTGCCGAGGATGTACCAGGCAGTGGATTTTGTTTGGTCGAGCCTATTCTTCTGGTATGCTTTTGCACATCCAAGCGAGAGCGGTTCGCAGTGCAGGCGGCGACCATGAGGTTCTGGTTCCCTGGAGTCGTCGTCATCAGTATGTGTGTTGGCGTAGGTTGAACCTCATGGTATGGCCATTTGTCGGAATTGATCCACTTGATTGGCTGTAATTAAGCCTAATATGTAATGGGCAGGCGTATAATCCATTCCTTGGAGGAAGCCATTCGTCGGTGCAACCGATCCACGGGGAATGCATTTGTCTTTACGTCGGGTCCGTGTTGTTGGTATTGGGGCGGTGTGACGAATCGGGAGAATTGCTATTGCTTGTAGAGCAGAGCGGGTGGTGAATGGTGGTGGGAAAGGCTGCTGTGGATCGATTGTCTTTTCAAGAGAGTTTCATAAGCCTATATAATCCATTCTAACGGAAGTGTCCTTTCATTGGTTCCTTTTCTCAGGGCTAGTGAGGTCAATCAACCATGGCTGTGGATGTGGTTGGATGGACCATTCCAGTGGTAAAGGGCGCTGTTTGGACAGGTGACTGGTCTTGTTCTCCCATTCCCCGTGTTTTGGAGTGTGATGTGGACAAGTTATGAAGTGCGTAAAGCGTTTGTGATCGTTCTCTCGCAGCTGGACGGGCGTAAGCCGCCGGCGGTCGTTCCCGCCAACGGGTGGGAGGAGGGAGGAGGGAGGA